CGGGGGAACAACGTCCGCCTTGGGATGTTCAAGGAGCGAGATCTGATTGGGATGGTAGTGACGCTGTCCCAACAGCCTTGGGATGGGGATCAAATATATATATGTACCTTCAGGCAAGACCATGAAAAACTTGACAGTGGTTTTGTTGTTTTAAGTTTTTATATGAATCTATTGTTTCGGAAAGTGGTGATAGTGGATAGTGTTTAATACATGTATCGGTAAAATACATCAAGGCCGTGTCAAGATGAGATATTTATTATAGGATATTTATATAGCGCACATATCGACACACTAGTGCATGCTCAAGGCGCTGGTATTGTTTCCCTCGATCATCGGATGTCAATCTCAACGGCACATCGCATTATCAATCTCAACTCCTTGGGGAGTATACAACTCTTGCAGCCACTAGGCGCACCGAGGTATTGTGGCTTTCTCATCCTAACGAGGTACATCTTCACATATATGAGTGTCTAAATCAGGCTGTTGTAATCTGAATGTGAATCTGAATTTCAAAATCTGAATGTGAGAACTATAACAGTCACCTCAACGGTTCCACAATTATTTTTGATTCCATCAATACAATGACGTGTTTTACCACTAGAAATTTCATATGACTGTCTAAGAATCCGAATATAGTTACTGGGGTAATATACTCTCGTAGGTGCTCACAAACCACAAACAGTACATACATACTAACAGTGTAAGTACAAATCGAGATGGACGTTGACCCATTTATCTTACAAGCATGATGGCCATTAGTCCAGTCCCTGTCATGTGACCAGAAAGAAACCTTACAAGACAAGACAGGAAGCAATATGTTATCTCAAACGTCAGAGGGTCATGGTCACTTTAATTGGCCTCGACAATAATATTCAACCATAGTTAAGACCAAGAAATGGGTTTCTCTTTCGAGTGATTTGAGGATGATATCTTCACTTGACACTGAGACCGGATGAAAATGATTATCTTGTTTCTCCGGATTTGGCTGGATTGGGAGGGCTGGTTAGATTTGATTTTTATATATTTTGATATGATACAAGCCTTTGGAACCGAAATTTAATGTCCAGCTTTTGTTACAGACCCTGCGGTTTGAGGTATGCAGAGACGATGAACCTACACCCGAGGCCATTGTGACCACCACAGGCTACCAAGCGTGTCTGAAACGCTATGAATGGCAGGGCGTGTTTATAAAGTTGGAATTTGGGGCAAAAAAGGAAATTAGAGTTGAAACACTCGTTTCTTAACAGTGCTGAATAAATGCATATAAAATATATTTGAAGCTGGGCAATTTTGCTGGCGGGTCATAAAAAGTAAATAAAATATTATAACAAGTCAAAAGGATGTAAGACTTCGCTTCTAACTCCATACAATAAATGCCGAGGTTCTTCCTGCACTGTCATCCCCAGCTGTTGGGTCGGCTATCCACTGAGGCTGCTGCAGCCCTGGGGGAGGGCGGCACGCGACACGCAGGGTGAGGGGGGACGGGACGAGAGTGTGTGGAATAGTTTACCGCGATCAGCTGTTAGTTGCTCGACCCTGCGCGTGCCGGGGGGAGAGGGTCGGGATACGAGGGGGGCTGGGAGACTTCCGGCTTCATTGTCATGTTGAATGTGGGAGGCACGCGTTCTCCAGCAATCTATCAACAAGACACACGCTTACACTGTGAACTATGTGAAGATTCATAAAATGTTCTGCAGTATTTGCATGTGTTCTTAATGATATGTTCATTACTGAATGGGCGGGGGATTAGACATGTTCCGCCATCCAGTGTATTAAAATGTTTCCTTTATCACTCTGGAATGGAGATACGCTGGGTACAGTATTTACTACGTCTAGGAACTGGGTCACTGACTACCCCTGACCTTAACTATGTAATTCAAATCATGTAACAGCCATAATACGCCAGTGTTACAAATAAAAGAAAATACAAACTCATAAACTGTATACCGGTACTACAACTATTTCAACCATTATACACCGATGCTGCTATTACAATAACTACTAGCTAAGCCAGAATATACCGGAACCACTGTTATTACACCTACTTATTCAACCTTTACGAATGGGTGCTATTATCGCTACTAAAACTAAATCAGCCATTATACACCAATGCTAGTGTTACTAACATCAGTAATTTAGCTATAAGACACCTACTACTACTACTACTACAACTACTACTATAGACTAAGGCTTAGTCTCTGAATATATATAATTTTGATAGTAACAAACAAGCCCATTTATATTGAAAAGGAGCCCTAGGGAGACCAGAGATTCCTGAACCTGAGGAAATCTAGACTTGCATTATTTAGGGCTTTAGCACTGCAGAGAGGGCTTGGCAGTAGGGAAATTAATGTGGTTCAGGGACTGTGAGACAGACTACTACTACTACTGCTACTACTACTACTACTACTACTACTGCTACTACTACCACTACTACTGGCATTATACACCGTTCATCTTCTATACCACTACTAATTCAACAACTGTATCCCACTGACTGTCATTACCACTATCAATTCCACCGCAATACACGTCTGCTATTATCTTTACGACTGCTACTAATTTAGTAGTGTACACTAGTGCTACCACTGCTATCTCTACGAACTGAAACACATACTACCACTACTAATCCAAACAGTATATACCGATGCAACTGCTACCATCACTAGGAATACAGCCATCAGATCCCGGCGCTATTGTCCCAATTAACACTAATTCAGTCATTTCACACGGATGCTACAATTACTGCCGCTACTATTTCCGTCAATACATACAGACAATACTGTTACTACTACTACTACTACTGCTACTACTACTACTGCTACTTCTACTACTACTACTACTAGTCAGAGGTGACTAATATATGACGGGATTGGGTGGTCAGGCTCGCTGACTTGGTTGACACATGTCATTGTATCCGAATTGCGTAGATCGCTGCTCATACTGTTGATCACTGGATTGACTGGTCCAGACACGATTATTTACAGACCGCTGCCATATAGCTGGATTATTGCAGAGTGCAGCGTTAAACTAAATGCACTCACTCACACTACTACTGCTACTACTACTACAACCACCACCACCACCATTACTACTAGTACTACTACAAACGACGCCTTGACCACAGCCACCACTACAACTACTGATGGAACATAGACATAATAATTCATCTCTTGCAGGGGGCGGTGGGGTAGTCTAGTGGTTAAAGCGTTAGCTCGTCGCGCCGAAGACTCGGGTTCGATTCTCCACATGGGTACAATGTGTACAGCTCATTTTTGGTGTCCCCCGCCGTGATATTGCTGGAATATTGCTAAAAGCGGCGTAAAACCATACTCACTCATCTCTTGCAGTTCAGCACAAGAACGAGAAATACGCCCAACATGTTCCACTCATAAAACTAAACAACTTTGGCGTGATTTACTTCATGCGACACAAGTGAAAAGACCTTGGTCAGATAACAGTACATAAACGTGGGTCGGCTTGCGACAGTGACTTAGGGGACTGCTTCGTCCTGCCCTTGAAACATATACCGGCAGGAAGTTGTTTATAATGTAAGAGAGGCATCCTGCAATTGTTTACAAACCGGACACATAGATTAACAATAGAGGCATTAATTTTAACAAAGGTTGCTGCTTATGACGTAAATGTTACTGTAGTTCATATCGGTGAACCCGATGTTGTCGTTATTTGGGTATGTTTGCTTTGAAAGTTAAACAGTGTGAAGAAGGAGACCCTGTTGGGGTATGTTTGTCTCATCTCGGACACCTCACTGGCTGTCTGAAATACTAAAATAGCTATTTGCAGCAGGATCTATTCCTGTATCTATTCATTATCAGGGGGTGGGGGAGGAGCCCAGTTGTTTAGGCATTCGCTCGTCACGCCAAAGACCCGGGTTCGATTCCCAACATGGACACCATGTGTGAAGCCAATTTCTGGCGTCCGTCGCTGTGATATTGCGGAATATTGCTAAAAACTAAACTCACTCACTCTTTTCATTATCTACTTCGATCTGTGTTATCTTCATGCAAAATAAATGGAATAGTTCAACATTAAAAAGGCAACACGTCTATCGATAATCCAGCTGACCTGAACATTATTGTAATGAAATCTCGAAAAATAAATAAGGTGGGTGAGTGAGTGAGTTTAGTTTTACGCCGCTTTTATAATAATAACTTAGTAAAACATGGTTGAAACAACGCCTAAAATGACGAAAGCAACAGTATATTGGGTATCAATTCAAACTGCAAATATATGATTGTCTTGTAATTATGTAAGAAATTACTGCTACAGAAATACTAAAATCAGAACATATATAGTCAGTGTAAAGTGACGAGCGAAAGACGATTTCGAGTAAAAACTATAACAATACCCCATTTAACTAATTCTTTAGCCCGGTCAAAAAATGGTTTTCATTTAAGATAGCATTCCTTAGGCTTAACGCTTTCTTAAGAAATACAGGTAAAAAAGATTTCGGGACCTTAAGTAAAGTGGGGCCAACGATTATTTCCTTGTTGTTGGCGGGTTGGGATTTCTTAAGATTTTTGTGTGCAGGCGTTCTTTGCCGGTGCAAATGATACGCTGCCGGTGAGCAGGCATTCAGTTTTGTTTATCCTTCTTGAAATCAAAATGTAAGAAATGGTCCACAGTGATTCACTCCGTATATCTCTTGCTTTTAGCCAGCACTACCTACCCACGCATAGCACAGTGCGAAATTACCAGCCACCTAAAGGGGGCGCTTACGTTATGTTGGGCGAGTACATTATTTATAGGGAGAACGCACATCGATGTGCAATTTATATAAATATTATGCGTAAGAGACTGCATATCAGGATAAAACATTTCTTTTGTGTCGAACAGATAATTCAAAAGGTTACAATAGATGCACACGGTGTTGATCGTCTAGCGGGAGAAAAATCAATGTATCGACGTATACATCCTGTCTCCCCTCAACATGAACTATATCCACACTTGCCGACTGGATTAACCCATTGCGATCGCCGCAACCTAACGTGGAGGGATTGATATACGGATTACGGTTCGTGTGGATGAAAGCATGTTTTATGTAAAGGATTCACTTAAGCTTTCGCAGTTTCACCGGGAATGGGACCAGTTAGATACGAAATCATCGCTCATAGTGTTGTTTTTCTAATAGGATGTTTTTTTCGAGGTAAGTGACACAATCTTTGTTTTGACAGTTCACATGTGCACACGATGTTCCATGTGGGCATAATCCTTACCGTTATATTAATGATTCTGCTTTTCAGGTAGATCTGTCATGTCTAAAATATTATTCCATTGGCTTTGTCAACATGTTTCCTACCCACAGGCATGGCTGTCATAGTCAGATTTAGCTCACATGAGCGAAATATCGCATCGAATTACTTGAAATGACAACGTTGCTCAACCAGCTGATCGGGACAAGGCAAACACGGTTCGAATCAGGTTCGGTTCAAGTCCGTGTATCTGCTCGTCGCGTTTTATTTCCACGATTTTTATGGCAGAATTGGCCATGAAAGGGAGCAATATATTTGAAGAATGACTGCTACTGTTTTAAATATTGCCACTCCCATAGTAATAAGCCACCGTGGTGGAAGTGCCAACAAATGTTCATCATGCGATCGTCTTCTTGTGATAGCTTGTCGGCGGCCTCTCGATTAAACAACGCTGGTATATTTACAGTGCTGTATGCAGCCAAGTCTTCATATTGTCCCTTATGCACTTATACATCTAATCAGAATTATTCTACAAAAAAAGGACTCGAGATCATTGCAGATGTCAGGGCTAGACAAAACGTGATCTAATTGATATAATATCTTCAGTACATCAAGCAGTCTTTCATTACGGGGTATACTAGACAGTACAGTTAGTTATCTAGTTGTATTTCCCACCTCTCTCTCTCTCTCTCTTTCTCTCTCTCTCTCTCTCTCTCTCTCTCAGGTTTTGCGGCTTGAAGTAACAACAAACGTCATACAAACATAATAGGCAGACTTTTTGCTATATGTATTATTTAGATTAAATACACTTCTATCGATTTTCTGTTAATGTTTATTCTCCGGCGTGTCACGCAGTAGGTCGGACCAGAAATACCGAAGTCTAGCTATAGCAGGTGCTCGCTAAATACGGAACCGAATGTCTGATATCATCTTATCACGTTCTACCAGGCTCTCGAAACGACGGAAAGGATTATCACTTTTTTACAACAAATACAGTCATTCCCTCACAGTGATATGAATTTTCGATATAGAAATATATTTATATCTAAAGGTGTGTGTCCTACAGACAAACGTCTCGTGTCTCTAGCGTTCATTAGACACAGAGCCCGAACGTAAACGTACCTGTTCAGTATATTCTTGACATTATTATGGTGGTGTATTGTTGTATATCGTGTTTGCTCTCTTCAGACCATGAAGTAGACAGCATAATAAATTATTCACAACCTCGCGGGAGTTTTTTCAACTACTATTACAGTCGGGTAATGTAGAGAAGGACAGCAGTGATTCGCAGTGGAATAGTCGGCCCAGCATGTTTTGCCTTGAAGAGTGTCCTTAGCACAGGCCAACGAGGTTGAATAATTATTGGATGAACGCATTAAAAAATGCAAATCATTGATTTTTCTGGCGAACTAGTGCGAGTTGTTACATGGGCTATTGTCAAGTGCACGTGCGTTATTTGGAATCAGGGTGGAAAAGCTTGGTGATAATGTGTCTTCGCGCGTCGATGTGGGCGGGGCATGAAACCAAGAACACGATTCCTCAAATAGTAAAATAATTCCTCGTTTTACAGCTAATCAGTTACATGTGTGTATTTCTGTACGAGTGTCACATTTACATATGGAAAAGGATATAACTATCGGCAATTATCACTCTTGGGTTACCAATTTTAATTCATTAATGCTCTCTGGCTTTGGGGAATCCTTCGGGGGATTTGGTTCCTTAACATGCTGATTAAATAAACAAACCTCGCCCAGATCTCTGCGTGTTAAAATTATAATGTTAATGTTACCGGAGACAGTCAGGCTTAAAGCTCAAACGCGCTCAGACAGCTGAGGTATTTGAAATACTCAGCACGTGCAGTTGACGGTATATTTATTGATTTTCATCAAGTAACATTAGTCGGGTGTGTGTTGCAATTTCAAAGCGAGCGTGCGGCGCGTGCGCTCACGTGTGATGTGACACCAAACACGATTCCAAGTTGTCTGCGATTGACAGTACTGCTTGTACTTCGCTGACCTCCATGGGACGTACGCCGTCTTGCTGGTTTGCCAAGATATGCAATTCTGCTCGTGAAAACAGAGAATACCGTTTGATCGATTCCGACTCAAAGCGCGTGCGTCTCGTGTTCTTCATCAATGTTCATTGCGCATTTTATGGTTATTGAAGACATAAATTATCCATCCAGTTTACAGATAGTGGTTCCAATGACATGGGATGCCGATTCTTATCTCACTGAAACTTGTATTCTTGTGATCGTAAAACAAGAACTTCGACGGGTTTTGTTCAGGATCATGAATCCTGTAAAAATATGCATGCTAATTTGTTCCACTGTCTATTTTACTTTATGGGACATCTTCACGTCGTTTGTTTTGTGTGTAGTGAAATACACATCAGAGAGAATTATTATCAACATGATTTATGCATGAGTACCCGGAGAGTAGGTAAATGATTGGGATTTTGTATAATTACGAGAGATTTCGAGAAATCGAACTTCTTGAACTTGTTTTAATGTAAAATCGATGGTAAAGAACTAAAACATCATTGTGACATCGACCAGACCTAGGTTAGTTCAGTCCTGCACAGACTGGGTCGTTGAACCTGATCTATATGTTGTTGCTCACACTGAACATCCTCCACATGGCGGCACCTCTTTGATGTGTTGCTGTATAAACAGTCTAACCTGTTCACAGATAAAAGGTGATAATGCACTATTTGTTTGGGTCTGCTTACCGTTTGAAATATTAATGAGTGGTCAGTGATGGCTATTTTCCCTTTTGATTGTTGATTACCATCAGGAATAAAGTGTTTTATGAGTGTATTTGCGAATGCATTAAATATGTTTATTGTGGACAGTCTCTTTGCAGTGTCATGGACTGCAAACACAGCCAGTCTCAAACTGTTTGTAGTTGAATATGATTACAGATACTCTCATAGAGAAATATGTAGGTGAAACTTTCAAATACATTTCAGAGTTTAATTAACTTCTTTTATGTGGATTTTCCATTCAAATGCTAGCCTCAGGAACTTTAATTCAGTCAGTACCAAAGCTGTTTGATGTGAGGGCTCAGTTTTGGCTCACAAGGGTTTAGATATTACTTTGGTTTAAACAATAAGAAGCCAGGGTTGGATTGGTCACTTGCATCCCAGGAGGTAGGGGTAGTAGTACTTCTATTTTCATCCAGCATCCTTGAATCTTAGTGTGAGACAGTGCATTGTAGCAATGAATCAAGAGTGCATAAAAGATGCTGAATTCAGTCTTTCCATCCCCTATTTGCCATATTTTTATTTTATGTCCTGATTCCAATAGTGTTTCTGATTGGTCAAGGCTGTCCAACTATGATGACCCATTCAAGGATCATGACTGCAGATGTCCAGATGTGTCCTGTATATCTTGGACACTGACCACCTTATTATAAACTACCGACCACATTATTACACACTACAGACCACATTATTACACACTACAGACCACATTATTACACACTACAGACCACATTATTAGACACTGGCAACAAAGGCTGGTCCAGACTCTCAGTGGTGCTGCCTACTCTGAGCTGAGTAGCCATCATCAAGAAGTAATTGACCAATATGGACTGCTGATTTGATCCAGTCTGAAGTGTTGCTACTCCAAGAGGAGACAGTATTTAAAGTGTTGATGACAGATCGATAGAGATATTAGTGACCCTTGTCCAGAGATTGTGGTGGTAACATAGACACTAACCTTGTTATGTGTAATCTATGTGGGACCATCTGCTAGACTCTCCATGTTAATGTTCAGGGCTCCAGCTTCACCTACCCCTTACTTAAAATCAGTGTCAGGGTTATCTGGTCTTTAAATTAATGGGGTATTTTCTTCAAGAATGTAGCTCCTCTTGATCGAATCAGTTGTATGTTTTAGTACTGACAATACCAATAAAAATAACATGGATCAGCAACAAACCAGGCAAGCAAACATTCATTTTTGTCATCATATATATGGATCAGCAACAAACCAGGGGCATTCATTTTGCATCTAGTGGGGTAGCCTAGTGGTTAAAGTGTTCTCTTATCACACCGAAGACCTGGGTTCAATTCCCCACATGGGTACAGTGTGTGAAGCCCATTTCTGGTGTATGTGGCAGTGATATTGCTGGAATATTGCTATTGAATATTGGTGACTGAATGGTGTTCTGTGCCACAGTCAGAAATATTCCAGCTACATCACAGTGGATTGTACAAGATCATGTTTGGCAAACCATTGACTGACAACATAAGCAAATGATACATGAAATTGGGGCTGGATGTAATCAGACGTGTCAACTTGAAGCCCATGTAGTTGACTGTTGCAGAATCTCCACAGATTTTGTTGAAAATACAAATATACTAATTTACCTTCTCAATCACTTAAAATTATTTTAATTTTGTACAACTGCAAAATATGTTTTTGTATTAGTCTGAGCATCTTTTCAATTCCCAGGGACATTCCTTAGGGTAATGATTGTGTCTTTGGAAGCAGGGGTGACTTCCTATAGACTGGTTCTTGGCAGTGTGTGCCAGCATCACATTTAGAATCTGTGGCCACTATTTTTGTCACAATCTGTTCTGGTGAATCTAGTTTTATCACACGGCAAAGTTAGGAACTGTTCAGATCCCTGACATCTTCACAAAAGGAATGGGTTACAGATATCATGTTTTTGTAATTGTTTGTCAATTAAAAGAGCAAACAAAGAATACTCAAATCTTTCACATTAACCAAGGTCTAACACTATTCGCTTAATGTGAGGCATGATTTAAAGAATGTTTGAGATGTTTATTTACCTTTTTGGAGAATATAGGTAGTTTTATGTATTGACATCAAGAGACCGAAATCATTTCGTAATATCTTCTGACAGCCAGTATTATTTCTAACATATGTTATATTTGGGATTACACTTTGTCAGTGAAAAACAGATTCTAGTACTTTTGTTGGGTGGAG